AGTATGGAAAAAGAACAAGTGTATTAATTAATTGTTCTCGTTTTTATACCAGAATTTGAATACGTCCGATCAAATGTATAATTAATCGTCGAAGAAGAGAAAGAGAAAAGGGAAAAAGACTTAATTTCTATCTGAAATATCGATCCTTCGTATTATTATAATAAACGTACGATATGCGAGGGGAAAGAAATAATATCGAAAAAATAATCGAAAATCGATGTTGCATGTACAATCTGTAAAATATTCACAACCAGTTTAAAATTCCAATTCCAATTTCTCGGACGAGAATCGAGAAAAGAACGAATCGAGCAATCGCAATTAACATTAATCGAATTTCGTATAATTCACTGTCAAAGATTCACCATCATTTCAAAATTCCAATAATTTTCGATCGAAGAGAACCACCACTGACGATCAACGCTGACAAAATTTCGATAATTCACCAAAATCGCACCTGCCCAAAATATTACAAACACAACCCTCGATCACTACGAAATTCCTTCCACACTTCTTCTCACTCACCGCCTTCACTACTACTTCAATTCTAACATTCCCAACGGTTTAAAAACCGTTTAAACCCACCCACTTTTCCAACCACACTCTCCTCCTCTTAAACAAGCAATTTATATTCAAAACGATCGAAAAACGGTCGAATCCACCGAAGGGAAAAGAACCGCTTTCTTTTTTTTTTTATTCCGTCAACCACCTCCGCCAAACCCCCACCTCACGGATCCATCCAAGATGGAGCGGCGCCGCGAACGATAAATCGAGATCCATATCTCGAAACGCGGTTTACCCATTTCGTGAATTACGCGAGGTCCACTTGCAAAGCAAATTGCCTCGTTCGGAATGAACGATGTGCACACCTCGGCCCGAGCCCGAGAGATCTGTAAGCCCTTCCTCCCCTCTAAAGGTGGGCATAACGAAACACACCAGTTTCCAGAAGGGAGGGATTTACCCACGGGAGGAGAATTCGTGGCGACTGGGATCCAATTACAGAACTAATTATATCCCCGAGAGCGTAAAAATAGCGAGAGCGCTGTTATAGACCGAGGAATAGAAGGGGTAGTTGGGCTTCTAAAAGGAAACGGGGGAGGCGAAGAAAGGGGGGATTGTTCGAGATTCCGACGGTTGGACGACGGTTTCGTGAATGGAATTTTAATCCTTTGAGAGGGGGAATTTGTCGAGACCAGGGAGAGACTTGTTTTTTCGGTCTGGTTTCGGGGAAAGGAAAAATTCGCGCGGTGGATTCGGAGGTGGAAAGGGATATTGTGAATTAGAGGGGAGTATTGCTTTTATCAAGTTGAATTCTTTAGATTTCCCTTTTTGGGGGGAAGAGGAGAAAAATTTTGTATATTTTGATATCACTTATTTTGAGAGGAGTAATTTTTTTTTTTTTTTTTTTAGAAATATCACTTTCCTCCATTTTTTGAAGATAATATTCGCAGAATTTCGTATTTACAGATTCTCTTATTAATATTTATTATGGCAAAAATTCGAAAATTCTTCTCTTCTTTTGCAAATAATAACGGCATTTCACATTTATTTGCTTATAATATTCCGACAACGAATCGAAGCTTTTATTAATTCTCTTAAAATGCAGCATTATTAATAAATTTAAATCGAATCTCTCTCTCTTTTTTTCTTTAAATAATATTTCGCGTTTATCGATTCGAAAAAAATTCGAAGGAACAAGATAAATTCAATCTTCAATCCGAATTCTAAAAATGGAAAGCTATTGTTTTTACGATGTCACTGTTAATTTTTCTAGAAGAGGCGAAGGCCAAATAAATCGATTCGATAAACCGTATAACGACACTGGTTGATTGTTCTTTTAATAAAATCGGAACCGATTTGATGCGGCAAGTCGATTAAATTGCGAATAAAAAAAAAAAAGGAAAAAAAGCAGGATTTGTCCGATTTGTGGGCATGCATTAGTATACGCTCGATTGACACTATTAAGAATAATCCCATTCTATTCCATTTTTTCCTTTCCACATCGAACCATCCATTAAACGAACATTTCCATTTCGATTTACTTCAAACTAAACGTTTCGAGCTAGTCTCTCTCTCTCTCTCTCTCTCTCTCTCTGCTTCTTTTTTCAATTGATTAGAAAAATTTAATAACACCTATAAGATACTATTTCTACAATCGCTTAATATACATATTTTAGCGTTCTTATTTAAAAATATAATCAATCAAGAACAATCAATAAACCAGGAATCAATATGAATATCGAGATATATACCTAAAAATAATACACTTTATACATACGCTTTTAATTATCCTTCTTAATTTTCTCGAATCGGTTTGAGACTCGTTTCGATCGTCATTTTATTAACAATAACTCGATTCGCACGATTGGATTCGCAATTTCGATTTACAATTACTTTGTGCTCGGCTGTAGTATACAAAGTATATTCTTCTTTCTTCGCGTTCTTTAACGCGTTCTCTCGCGCCATAAAATCGAAATCAAGAAACGGGGGGAGAAGGAGGGTTAATTTATCGAAATCCCGATATATTGGACCACAATTATCCATGGCTTTCAATTAGCGAGCACTGTTTCGGATCCAAATCCATCGTCCAGAAGGGATTGATGCGGATGACGATAATCAGCCGGTCGAAATAGATTCACAGGAACGCGCATAGGGAGAATTAGGGGATGGAAAGACGGGCGGAGAGGTTTCAAAGGGATAATCGTTCCGAACCGGCCTTAATGTGATTGACTCGTTTTATCGCGCCGATCTTGCTCCCCGGACGGAATTATCGCGGATATCCAGTTTACCGCTCTTTGCTAAATTAATTACGCGGCAAGACGCAGCCAACTCCTCCTCATCCTTCTACCAAACAGCCGCCCAACTCTCGAATTTTCCTCTTCGTAATTTCATCGATTTATTTCTCCAAGCTCCTCGTTTCATCGAGTTATACGCACGATGTTTCGATCGAGTATTCGATAATTTTCAAAGGGCGAAATAAACGTGTATCGTCTGGATTGTTTTGGAATTTTTCCTTTTTCCTCCGTGATAAAATTGCGAGGCAAGCATGTAATATATCTCGATCGAGTAATTTATGCAATTACGAGAGATTTCAAATTACCGATGATTCTATCGTGGCGAATAAAATTCTTGCAATCGTATGTTTCCACGGTTGTTCTTTTGGCTGCGAAATTACTAAACCTAGCTGTCGGTTTTCCCGTCCCGCTTGTCTTCGCTCTCTTCGTTTCATCCCCATTTTCTACGCGGCGAGACGATTATTGGCCGACCCCCGACAAAGCATTTCCATTGATTTTCCTTTCGCGATTCTCTTTAATTTCCGCTCCTTTTTGACGCCGCGCAACTTCGAGCGAACCGCGAACCCCGATGGAAAAATCACCAAATTTTTCAAACTCTGTTCTCCCGACTTTCAACCATCGAGAAACGTATCGGTCCTCGCTTTCTCCGCCGAGATTGAATTTAACCGATGAAATTGCGTTTGCACGCGGGCCGATGTTTCTCAACGAATCTAAAGATGAATTTTTTTCCTCCCACCCCGTCGATTATTAATAAATGAAAATGTAGTCGCAAGGAAATTCATTCGATACGAAGGTCGATGATTTTTGAACGAATATTCGTATAAATGCAACGCGTACAACGTTTCATTTCTTCCGTCCAACAATTTTATCGAGGGGGTGAGATCAAAATTTCAAAATTTTTTAAACGCGTTTCGAATTTTCACACGATTTTATCCCGGGATATTTTTCTTTTTTTTTTTTTACAACGGAATAACAAGGTATTAAAATCCTCTGATAAAACATTTTACGCGTTTAAAGTGATCCTCTATCCCGTGACAAAGTTATATTTAAAAAAAAAAAATTATAAAAACATCGAGAAACTTTAAGGGTTGATTTCACCCCTTCAAAGCGAAATAAAATCCAGCTAAAAAAAAAAAAAGTTGCTCCGTAATCCATTATGCTCTACATAACTCTGCGAAAGCGCGATTCAATCAAAAAGCGAAATTTCCATTTTCGTTTCTCGCTTCTCTCCAATCTGACAATAATTCAAGAAATTCTCTTCTTAATCCCATTGAATCGATCCAAATTTGTTTCCAAATCATCTTTCGCTTTCGCCCATTTCCGCGGAAACTCGAATTACAGTTCCAAGGGGCGCGAGAAGAGAGGATCGGTATCTCTGTTTGAACAACGAATTGCCGGTTTCCCTAAACAGGAGAGTTAGGGAGGGGGGGGAGGGGGCCAGGTAGGAAGAAGTCGGGTTAAAACTCGGGTTTCAAATTGAGCAATCGTTGAATCACTGGCGCAGCATCCAGCGATGAACGTTTCCACGTTGTGGCCAACGCGCCCATCAATTACCTCGATCACGAAATGACGGATAATTTCAGTTGTATCCAACGGTATCGTTCCAAAGATTACGTGTATTACGCCAAGAGAAGAATTACTTCTCCCTTTTCTTTCATCCCTCAGTGAATGAATGCATATTCACTCCTCGACAGAACTTTCTTTCTTTCTTCGAAAGAGATCGACGACTTACCTTCCTTCCTTTTTTCTTTCCTTGCGCAGACGCTTTCAGGTATGCTCCTCCCAGGACCCATTCGATGTCCGGTGACGGTGATGGTACAATTTGTAAGGTGAAAAATTGACGACCAGTACTTCTTACCTCAAACTCTCGGAAGCTTCGACTCGAGTATCGCACGAATTTATTTTAATAAACGAAGAAGCTCGATTTATAATTTTAACAATAAAATTTGCTCGGCAAATTAACCTTATTATTACCTTTCCACCTCGTATTCTCTCGTATTCGTTCGTTCGATCGGAGAAAAACCTTCCACCCTACCTCTCGATACGTATCAACAATCGACCACCCCTCTCGAAGAAAAACCAACGATCCACTTCCATACCGGTTGATGATCACCACGTATACACACACGCACACACGACAGGTGTAGAGAGAAAGCGTAGAGAAAGAGAGACAGAGGATGAGAGCAGACACGGTGTGGAACCGCTTACCTCTTTGATCTTCTCGCGGCGCTGATTAGTCACGTCATCCAGGGGTGGATTAGGCGGTTTAATGACGTAGGGGCCGGGGACGGGGAGCGGCGGGGGCCCGACCGCGGACGGCTCCGACTGTCTCTGCCTCGAGTCGGCCCATCGATCCTTATCTTCGAGGGGGGGTTTCGCCTCGTCCTGGCCCGGGATCACGTTACTCTGCACCCATGCGGGGGGGTTCGCCTGCTGCTGCTGCTGCTGCTGCTCGTTGCCGCGCTCCTCGGGCGCCGCCCCACGCTCCACCACGTTCGCGAGATCACGACGCGTGACGAACGTGCCGGTGAGAAGGACGATCAGTATCACGGACAGGAGTCCGCTGATCGCCAACCTCTGCATCAGCCGCATCTCGTCCAGGCACTTGCTGCACTCCCACAAGCCGCCCGGAGTTGCAGATGTTTCGCTCGTATTGGCGGAGCTGCGTGCGTGGAACACGTTACATGTGTGTGTTTGTGTGTACGGAATTTTTTTCGATTGGTCTTGGAACTCTTTTTTCCTTCTTTCTTTCTTTTTCTTTTCGAGCTCGAAATTTCCTCGCATTTCTTCCCCGGAAATGTGTTGTATAGCGGTTGGTTAGTAAGCAAGAGGTTTTGGTATCGGTTTATTATTGCCTCCTAATTCATTATTTTGGGGATATCCACGCGTGGAAGATCGGTCGAGAGGAATCTTGAACGAGACAAAGTTCGAAATTTCCTCGTATTACTCCCCGATGTGTTGTATAGCGGTTGGTTAGTAAGTAGAGGTTCATTGTTGTCTCCTAATTCGTTATTTTGGGTATCTCCACGCGTGGAAGATCGGGAATCGTGGAATCTTGAAAACGAGACAAAGGGGTATTTCTTTCGACTCGAGGAACGCGTTGGTTGGGATGAAGACAGAGAGATGGGTAATGGTAGGATCTTTATAGAGGTGGAGGATCGGTACGAAGATTCGGGGATGGTAGCAAACTTTGTTATGTATTATTAAGCCTATATATAAAGTTTATTTTGGATGAAGTTTATACGCCAAGTTTTGGTTAAGTTGATTATTAGTTTTATTATAATTAATGTTAAATTTCAAGGATTATGCGGACTTATTATACATAGATAGATTAGTAGGTATATAGGTATATAGTCGAATGCAAATTCTTTGGACCGTTACATCAACCGTGAATATGTAAATCTACGAATACCCACTACCACCGTATAATTAATTATTCCACATAACAAAGTTTAAATGGTTAATTTTTCACAAGGAAAATTCGACAACTCGAAACGCTCGGATAAGCTTGAAAAATCTACTCGAATTTCTCAAATTGCCAAATTTTCCTCCCATTCCTTATATCTTTCTCGAATCGACCATTGATCATAAAATCTAATTTAAAAAAAAAAAAAAAAGAAAAAAAAAGAGAAAAAAGAAAAGAAAACATGAAATTTCGAATATTCGAAATCGAATCGGTTGAAAGGTAAAAAGGAACGCGAGGTTTTCGTTTAAAAAAAAAAAAGAAAAGAAAGAAAGAAAGAAAGAATCGGCGATTAGAATCGAACGAGAGTGGCGTGAAATCAGGCGAGGGTGCGAACACACCGGAGGCACTTACTTGCGGGCCACCTGTTGTAGGTAATTCGAGCACCCCGACGAGTGCTCAACGGTCGTTTTAAGTAGCCTTCAACGACGGCGGCCGCGCGTTTTCAGCTCGCGTCCCTCTGCTTCGATCTCATCGACTCGGAATTCTCGTCAGCTGCGAAGAGAAATTCACTGTGTTCGGTGAACAGGCGCGCACACCTAACCGCGAAAATCTTCCCTTTCCTCGAATGCGTCGCGTTTCTTCTGAGTTCGACTCGTTCGCCTCGATTCGTTGCAAAACGCGAGAAAATCTTCTCTTCTCTATAACGGAGTTTATTTTATCTTTTTAATATCTGTTTGAAAGATTCGATCGAAATTTATCCATATTAATTCCTCTCGATTTTTATTAAATAGATGCACGTGGATGTGATTTTCTGAAAACATCCACGAACAAATATAAATGTTGAAATACGACCAATTGGAACGAGAGATCGAAATATCTAATTCTACGCGTACGTGAATTTAACAAAATGGTTTTTCCGCTTAAGGAGAATCCCTTAAGAATGGATAAACGTCTCGTTGCGTGTTCTATTATTTTATTCCCGCGAAAATCGAGCGGTGAAGCGAAAGCGGCGGGAAATTTAAACGGAGGAAATTATTCAAGTGTCGGAAGACAATGGTAATTGTTAAGCGAGGCGAGAGAGTAATTGCTCGGCCATCGATGGAACGCATTTACGTTCCGATATGCGTTGAACGCACCTCTCTCGTTATACGGAGTTTCAATGACACTGCAATCTTGATTACCGTGCGTCGGTAATCGCGTTTGCAAATTAACAAATCAGGCCTGGTTATCAATTTAACTTTTAATCAAGGACAATAGCCCGCTTGTGTACGCCAGACAGACACAAGCGCGCGAGTAACCTTTGTTGCATTGATACGCGCGGTCTCGTCGTTACACGCGGTCAGATTTCGGTTTCGACGAGGGAACGGAAAATAATTGGGGGGCTTTTGTCACTTCCCTTTGTCCTACCAACGGCGGTAACTTCGTTAAAAGTATCGGAATAATTTAAATCGTTGGTAAACTTTTCGTTCGTTCGATCGAAAATTCCATTTTTTCCCCTAAATACTCCTTGATCTCGTCGCGGAAAACAACAAGTCTTTAACAATTGAAACAATTCAAATTTCATCGAGATATGTTCGTTTCAAATTTTCAAATCTCAACTTCCGTCTTCAACATCCCTCGATTCTTCCGATTCGTTGAAAACGAACTCGATGCGTGGAAAATTACGAAATTTCAGGATATAATGCGCGAATAGAATTAATAATAGTAAATCGTGAAGAATCCACGAAAGCCTAGAAAACCAAGCACCCACGGACCTCCCAACCGCTCACCGACCGATCGATCGATCCTCCAACAGGGAACTAATATAAAGCGCGAGGGGCGCGATACAAAGAGAAAGGAAGAGCAAGCGGATCGGAGATTCCAAAGTCTCTGCCGAAACGTGATCACTGCATTTTTTATCGGGCCCCGGGCATCGCGGGATGTTTCTCTGGCCCTCCTCGCATCGAAAGTCCGCGCGCATTTTATCACCCGGTCGCTGCAGGCGTTACACCTGCAGATTCTCTTTCCTTTTTCTTTTTTCCTTTTTTTTTTTTTTGCGAACCTCTTCTTCGAACGAGCGTGCTCCCACCAGAGGATCCTCCCACCAGGAAGGCGAGATTTTTGGAAATTCGCATTCGGATCAGACGGGGATGAAAATTTAAACGCCAAGTGGATTCGCGAAGAATGCAAACATCGATTACTTGTGTGCTAACTATATTTGTAACTTATGCTATTTACGCGTATTTGTTACTTTCGAGAAATTGGCTAAGAGTTTGTTAAAATAATTTAAACGTACATATATTGGAAGATTGATCATTTTCGCCGGTTGTCCAAGGAATTTTTCATCTTTTTAAATTATTTATATCGCTTTTCGACATCCTGTCGGAATACGCACAAGTTTCAGACGACGAATTGTAACGAATAAGTTCGTTATTTATATAACGAACAGAAGAATTCTAGAAATTGGAGAATCGATTTTCGAAGGGATAATAAACGGGTGAATCGAAGCTTTTTCTCGCTTCGTACGTACACTCGAAAAACGTTCTGGCGTAATAGAATAAAATAAATAATTTAAATTCACCGTGAAAATCGCGGGTAGAGTCTCGAGATTAGCGACTTCTCTCCCCCTGAAAGTACTTCTCGAAATACCATCGCGGCAATTCACGCCTCGCAATTAACCCTTCGGGTTACAACTTTCTTACCCCCGTGAAATTTCTTTCATGCCGGATCAACTGAACGCTGCTTCCTTACTCGGGTATATACACCAGAATTACACGTTAATCGCGGTGATACCTCGATTAAAGCAAACGGACAGCGGCTGGAAATCTTGCTTCACCCTGGGGCCCCCTCGAAAACGGAAGCAAGAACTGGCGGAAACGCAAATTGCATCCACTATCTTTGATATATTATCGCGATTTCGGATGATTGGCCCAATTGTGTCGTTTTCTGGAGAAATTCTCGAGTGCGCTTGAAATGTTAGAATTTAGTATGCGATCGAATTCGCGTTGATTCCATCTTTTGGAGAGGAAAAAAAAAAAAAACAAGAAACGATACTGTTGTTCGACGAAGAGGAACGTAACTTGTTGGGCCACGAAAGTGGAAAATCACGGGAGAGAAGGAAAAAGAAAGCTTTGGCGCGCGAAGCGAACGTAACGAAACGAAACGTGACGAACAGAGCCCAAAGAAGGAAACAGGTGAGAGAAGAGAGAAAAAAGGGGAGAGAGGCAAGTGAGTGGAGAAAAGGAGGAAGAAAATTGAGGGAGAGGGAAAGATAAGGGAGAAATAAGAGAGAGAGGAGGGGGGGGAAGGCGGAAAGAAGATAAATCGACGAAGGTAGGATTCGGTGGCTAATAAATCGTGGACCGGGGCCCCGAGGTTACCAAGATTGCTACGTGTCACATTCTTGTGGAAAATTGGACCGGTGGAAGTGCTTTAAAGCCAGGCAAATTCGCGTCGCGAATGGACACGTGCACGTACGTGTCCCCGACCACCCAGCAATTCCGAAAAAAATTCCCTGGAAAATAATTCCATTTCCCTCCTTGTTCCCTTCGCTTTAAATCCTGCATCACCCGTGTCGCCCCTCGAATCCTGTTATTTATTATTTCTCGCTCCCCCCCCTCCTTTTTTAATTTATTATTATTACTTTCGTGACGGAACGTTATTCAACCTTCTTTTTTTATTGGAAAATCAAAATGCCGTTACATTCTTTTACTCGCTCATCATACTGCTTACTGCTCCCGTTTTTCATTCTCCGTTCGATAATTCTGATTAACCGCGTGTTTACAATTATCACGCCCTCTTCCTTTCCTTTAATCTTACTCAAGAACTTGCTGTTTTATACTAATTCATCGTCAAATTTTATTTACATCCATAAATTATTCTCTCATTCGATATCATTCCATTTGCCTCTACCACAAGATACTTAATCGTCAGACGAGAAATATCTGCTCTCCCCGGATGTAAAAAATATTAACAAGATCGTTTCGCTTCCCCCCCCCCTCCCCATGGATCCGTTTAAAAAGATGGAAAATTCGCGACAAGTAAGAAACGGGACAGAATGTTTCGGCTCCCGTTGGAAAATGCAGTTAACTTAACGAGCCTGCATCAACGAATGCGAGGGCAAAAGAGGAGGAGGCAAGTTCTCTTCGATCGGTATCGAGGAGTATAATAACCCGCTTAAAATCGCAATTTGCAAGTGTTTGAACGCCTTCGAACGCGAAATAAGAAACTGGTTGGTTGGTGAAGAGAGATTCCTTTCTATACCTGTATTTTTTTTTCTTTTCTCTCCCCAATCGTTGTTCGGATACAAGCAGGGGGAACGTCGCGTGAAATAAAGCGTTAATCTTTGTGAATTAGCATCGAGATCGGGCGTGAAAATGGGCGAAATGTTAATATATGCGGAAACACCGCCTTAAATACCTTCACAGTTTAATCAAGTTGGACCTCGAGTTGGACTCGAGGTGTAATTTATTCGAGAGGATGTTTAATTTTCCGGTGTAATTCCGCCGAGGCGGAATGCTTTAACACGTTGGGGACCACGACGATGAAACGGGGGACGTAGAAGGGGAGCTAGAATTCTTATATACGAATGGGAGTTTCGTTGTAGTAACGAAGATTTCACGAAACAATCGATCCCCATCTTTTCTGAAAGAGGGACGACGACGACGATTACCTTTGAATAATCCCCTCGCGGGAATAAAATTTCGTTTAGATCAAAATTTCGATTATTTTGTATATTCTCGTTCCATTTTATCTATTCATTCTTTTTTTTTTTAAATAAATTCGAAAAATAAGAATCGATTTTCCTTCCTCTTTAAACATAACACCAACATTTCCCCTTCCCCTATCGCCAAACACCGAACTTTCTCGCACTCTCGCCTCCAACCGATCCAATTTCGGTACTTCCCCGCGATCTACTTTACCATCGGTCGATGGAGAAGCCCCCCCTCTCCGTTCCTAGAAACTGGCGCAACTCCCCCCCCCTCCTCTCTGGCCTGCCCCCACCACCGCGACGCTTAATTAGATTCACCGAGACATCGGATAAGATCTCATTAAAATTCCATCGCGGCATCTGTTCACCGGCGCAACGTTCGAACACGCTCGCCTACCTTCTTCATTCGTCCCCTGACGCATGATAATGCGGTCTCTGCGGAGGGTTGGCGGAATGCAGCACGCGAACGAGGCAAGGACAGTTCCTTCGTCGAGGAAAGGAAAGAGAGGGATGCAGACGAGGGTCTTCTATCCGTATAATGAAACTGTTGCTCCTCGTGGCAGGTAATTACCGTAATCTCGTTCCGGGGAAAGGGGAGGGGGAGTAAGGGAGAATTGTAGCAGAATTTTTATCGAACTCTGGTTGCTGACGCGTTTCGTTGCCGATTAAAAGCACGATTCTTTGAACTTGCTCTCCGTACCTTCCTCCCGATCGCGTATCCTTCGCGTTCACGGCTGCGGTTTAACATCGTAGGAATCGTTAGATCGTGTTCCGGTTGCGGTTTCGTGTGTGTTTGGCTTTGGCGAAAGTTTGAGAATTCGATCGAATTACCGGGCGGGTGTAATAGGAGGCTGGATTTGTAATCGCGTGTTTTTTGCAACGGGGATTACACTCGTCGGGGCTTATATTAGGGGCTTACCGATGTTATCCGTGGAATAACAGGCCTCCTGATCCTGGATGGGTTTTTTTCTAGCCGGATCTGGTTTGAT